ATGAAGTATCAGCTATAGGTTTAAAACCAGCATGCTACATTTTATGAAACTCTAAGATAATCCCGCAGTATCAATAAATATGAAGGTAAAGGAAATATATTTTATAAAATTTTAAATTATTTACATAATAATTTACACGTCTATAATTTTTTTTGGTAGTATTGTATTAAAAATGAACTGCTTGGACGATTTGCAGAGATGAGAGAATATGGGTAAAGATGCAAATATATTTGAACCTGAGCGATTCTTAAATATTAATAATGGTTTAAAACCAAGCCAATATAAAAATTTTCAGTTTTAATTGTGGTCCAAAATTTTGGTATGTATTCTTTACAAACCTAAACGATTTATTATTGATGCAACTAACGTATTTATATTTCCGTTTCATTAATATTTTCATTTAATAATTTTTACGATTAAAGTTTGAAAGCCTCGAACAAAATTTCGCTACGATCGAAGTTATGAAATAATCAACTTCATTATTAAGAAAATATAAATTCGAAAGAATACCAGAACAAAATTCCCCTCCTGTTTCAGTAACTCTACCAATGAAAGTTCTTTTTTTAATTAAAGTTCACCACGGAAATTAAACTTTTTTATTATTACCACCATAAATAATAGCTTAATCTATCTATATAATAAGTAATCTTTTGTAAAAGATTGTTATAAAAATTTTATGAAAAAATTTAAAAGAATAATGAACTTTACGATCGATAATTTTCAAAAGAATAACCCGCATAAATATAATATATATTAATACATTATCATTGAAAAGAAAAGTAAAATATGACGACAATATTCTTCTGTAGAACGGACTTTTAGGACCGCTTAACATCATCCTATGTTTTGTTATTTTAAATATGTAATTTTTTTTCAATTCTATGGTTTTTCTCGAGACTTTCGTTCGACAGTATTCGAATTTTCTTTAGTAAAATCTATCGATGCTATGAATTTCTATCAAAGCTTGAAATAATAAAAAAATAAACTAAATAGTAACTGTTACTATTGTTTCGAACGAAACCATTTTCTGAAATCCGATATTTCGCCCATTTCGCCCAGTGAATTTTTTTTTGCTAGAAATGATAGAAATACCAAGGCAATCCCTACCGCTTAAAGCAAATATATTGAATTGAATGTACGAGTTAATTATAAGAGTAACTGAACTGGCAAGCGACCTCCCTAAAAAACAATGTGAACTAATTCTTATTTGAATTTTATAAGGTAAATATTATTGTGGTTAAATACAATGTCTTAGTGAAATACAAATCCAGAAATAACTAATTTATTTATTAGTTAACATACACAAATCAGCAATAAATATCATTTTAGGTAGAGCATGACTATGTCATAGAGGGTCCAGACTCGTGCGATGCAAAATTATAAAAAATGCAATATCATGTTTTAAAATATGTAAAATATGCAAAATAATATTTATATATAATTCATTTATTGATTATTTAAGTATAAAATATTCAACTTGAAAATCAATTTTAGTCACAACAATAATATGAAATCTTCTTTAAAAATCAACACATGATACAAGGCACCATATATAATCCGATGCTTTCAAAAGGTTCATAAGGTTCATAAATAATGAATAGTGTTTTTCAATTTTCTAATGAATAATTTAGCCAATAAAAATTACGAATGATCACGTGTTTTATACGAAATGCAAAAAAAAACTACTAATATAAATTTAAAATAATGTAATTTTTATTTTTCAAATTATATTTAATTAAACTATCCTTTTTATATTAAAACAAAAACAACTTATATTTATATTTCAATTAATCTTTTTTTTTTATTTAAATAAAAGGTTCTTTTAAAACACAATGTAATAAGTTATATTGCTAAGTCTGGAGCTTGTGTAATATCACGTATCGACGAGCGGGGGGAATGCGGGACATATTGAGTCAATGCGTGTCTAAAATTATATAGTCCCTCGCTTACGCTCCGGACATATCATTAAGTTAGATGGAGTCGAGGTCCACTACTATTCGCAACTTCTAGTTCTAAATTATAAAAGCTTATAAAATTAGTTTCAAGAATTTTATAATAGGTATGCTTTTTTTTCTTGCGCTTTTTCTTCAAATGAATGTATTACATGAAGTTATTAAATAACAAATAAGTTACAAAAATCATATATTCGAACTTTTTTAATATGCATAAATTTAAACAATTTCTAAAGAAACATTAATAGAGAAACCTGAATACTTATATTGCATCTAAATGTAAATTTACGCAATCAATATAATACAGTATATCACATTATCTGAAACGTAATTTTATTGAAATTGGAGGCATTTCTCATTGAAATATCCGAAATCGCTAAAATAAAGTGAATCTATGTTAATACTTACATTATGAAGTATGAAATGATTTTATTTATGATTTTCCAGTCGTTACATCCATGATCGTCTTTCGGAAATACTGTGTGTAAATCAAACATCTATTTATAAATTTTATCAACATTCTTTATATCATAACTTACGATCACTTCATTACACCATGCTACCTATGGGTTAGCTAAATTATTATACAAATTCTCCAAATATAATTGCCAACTGTTATTGCAATTTACAAATTTTTCAATATTATATTCTTTCACAAATGCAAATTTTAGAATTTTGCTGGAAACAAATTTTAATATCACATATACCTAACAAGTGCTTTCAAAAAAATAATAAAAATTTTAAAAAGCTATGACCTAGCAAAACCAGTGATGATTTAATAATATTTTCTATGTTCCTAAATGTAATTTTATTAGCACTGATAAATTATCAAGGATTAATATATTGTTCAATAATACTTTTTAGCTTATTTATTAGAAACTTTTGTACTTAAGGTTTCACTAACAAGTTTTGTTGCAAAAAAAATAGCATATGTTTGAAGGGAGAATAGTTTACCTTAAATTTACTTTGGAAATTTGACATGAAAAATATCATAAAAAGTACAAATAGGCATTACAAATATTTGAAAATTATTTATTTAGTTAATACTTATAAATTTTCTATATAAAAGGACTATTTATGTAATACTAAATTAGTCAAAAAATGCTTTTTGTTCAGGATTTAATATTTATATAAAAAAGTTTTTTAATTTATCATAATGTGATTAACTATAAGCTTTTATGATTGCAGATTTAAGAAAATATAAGTAATATTAGAAACTTATATTTACATTCTAATAATATTTTATGCTAAAATACTAATAGTTATCATTTTTATTGATAAAAGCTTATGTATTTAATGATGTAACAGTTTAAAATTTTGGCTAAAATCTGATTACAAATCAAATGTCAATTAAATGTCCTTATTTATCATCTCGTCAATCCTGATGTCAACTTTATGTCCTGAGATAATCGATGTGAAACATTGTAGATCCAGATGTCAATTTTATTTCCAGTGTAATGAGCAACTTTATTGACATGATCATCTTTGCTGATCAATTTTGTCAATTTTATTTCCTTGAGGATGTCATTTATTTTTCATAGATATATTTAGTTTAGTTTATTTTATAATTATCAAACATGTATAAATACCTTTGTATTTTTATTGAGAAATGACACCAATGAATGAATCCATCAATTAATACATACCTTAATAAGGAGTAAGAATAATATTTCACTGGATAAGAATATTACCTCATAACCTTACGAGGTAAAGAACTTACAATTTATTATATTATTAATAAAACGTATAATTAATCAAGTTAAAACTTATCCTTTGCAACCCTTTAACCTGTGTATATATTATTATTGTTTATTAACTTTGCGTAGTATTGTATTGATTCATTGTATTGACTTAAGGTATAGTTACTGAAACGTAATCTCTGAAATATCCAGAAATTATTTATATGCGTAATTGAGAATAATCTTTGATATTTACTACAAAACTTTGTTGTGATTCCCTGAGTTTAGTCTTAGCATTATAAATTTTTGTGAATTTTATTTGAGTTAAAAATTGGACGTAACAATGAGAAGTAGATTCATAATCAAATTCATTAAAATTTAATAAATTCTAATTCATTCCAACTGTAAATGATCATTAGATAAGTTAATTTTAAGAGAACATAAGATTTTAAAATATCAACAAACAGTTTTTAAAATAAAGCTTAGATATTTTATTAAAATATCAATCATAAATCACAATTAGTATTATATCATTATATAAAAATTCATTAATATTAAACTATATTTATATAATTCAATTAATTATTTATTCATAAAATTGAAATAAAGCATTATATGTAATCAACAAAATTGGTTATTTTAGTTTGTCACAATTAATCCTTAGGACAACTTCTGGAAATTTGTAATTATATTTTATTCATTTTCTTCCACTTAAAGCATTTTCATTTTAAAACATAATATGAAGTCACGTGTTTATGTTTGAAGTAAATATTATTGACTTTAATACATAATTTATTTATGTAAACTATTTTCATACAATTCAAATTACTAAATATCAAAATATTTCGTTTTGGAAATATAATCTATAAATTAAAACAATTGATTAATTTGGAAATTATTGCTAATGCTAGTATTTTATTTTCTTTACTTACCATTATTAATGTTTTCATTATAACTATATTTATCTAATAAAAATAATTAATTAATTATCAAATCAGTTATATTGAATAGTGCAGAATTAATTATATAATTTACCAATAATGCTTGAACTTTTTAAACATTCTTTGAATTCTAATAAGATTATTGTATTACTATTTTGTTTATTTTCTATAATAGGTCCAATATCTGGTGATATTATAATTTTAGTTGGATTTTTTTCTTCATTCAAAATGATTTCATTAATAAGTTTCAAAATTTCATCAATATTTGGTCTTTTATTAGGATCAGAATCCCAACAGTTTTGAATTAATTTAATATAACCTTCAGGTGCATTTGTAATAATAGGAGGACGTATACCATCACATATTTTAATAATTAGATCTATATCAAAATTTTGATCCCAAAAAGGACTTCTACCTGTCATTAATTCCTACATTATCATACCAAAGCTATATATATCTGAAGCTTTTGTATATTTTTTATATTCTTGACCTTGAAGAATTTCTGGAGCAATATAAGGAATAATACCATAACATTCATTATCATTAACTGATGATTCAGTTGATAATTTACTAATTCCTAAATCACTTATTATAACATCATATTCATTTTCACAGAGAATATTTTTACTATGAAAATCTCGATGAATAATTCCTTGATAATGAATATGATAAAGTCCTTTATTAATTTGCTGCAAAATATTTAATTTTTTATCCCACTTAAGATTATAAAAGTTTTCTATAATATAATGTTTTAAATCATATTTATAATATTTCATAATAATTACAAAATCTTCTGTATAAGGATTTTTAGTAATTCCATAATATCTATTTAAATAATAAAAAGAATTCATAAATCCTTCATTTAAATCAATATTATAAATTATATTAAGCTACATTTATAAAATATTTATAATTAATATAAAAAATTTATAAATATAAAATAATATATTTTAATTAAGTTAAATTTACCTCATTTAATTCCTTAGAAGTAATATTTTTAGAATTATTTAGTTGTTTTAAAGCAACAATTATATTTGAATCATTAAATTCAAACTTTTCTATTTCTTCATTCCAATAAGATGGACCTTTATTCCAAATAGCTTTATATACTTTACTAAATCCTCCTTCTCCAATAATTTCTATGTTTTTAAATTGATTATAAGGTATAAATTTCATTCTACTAGATTCTTGAATAAAATTAATTTGTGTATATTTAATAAAATTATCAACAATTTGATTTCCACTTGATATATATAATAATTCAGATTGATAGCAAATAATACAAATTCCTTTGTTTTTTTTTGAAGATCTTCTTTTTTTCAAACAATTTTTACAAATATTATAAAGTTCATTTTCTGATTCAATTATAAATCCTTTAATTAATTTCAATTTAAAGAAATTTGATTTATAATAATTTTGAGATATATTTGTATTTATTGATACTTTTTGAAACCAATAAAATGCTTTTTCTAAATTCTTTTCTATTCCTTCACCATTTTTATATGATAATGCAAGATTATACTGTGCATCTGCATCATTATTTTCAGCAGCTTTTTGATACCAATAAAATGCCTTTTCTAAATTCTTTTCTATTCCTTCACCATTTTTATATGATAATGCAAGATTATACTGTGCATTTATTTGTCTATTTTCAGCAGCTTTTTGATACCAATAAAATGCCTTTTCTAAATTCTTCTCTGTTCCTTCACTATTATAATATGATAATGCAAGATTATACTGTGCATTTGCATTATTATTTTCAGCAGCTTTTTGATACCAATAAAATGAAAAGTTATAGTTTATGAAAGTTCCAAATCCTTTGTCATAACATTTACCTAAATATAATTGCGCAATGGGATACTCACTTGCAGTTTTTAGAAAGCATTTAAATCCTTCATTCTTAGAATTTTCATCTAAACTAAGCATATTGTAAAAGTAAAAAATTCCAAGGAACAAAACATATTTTGATTCATTTTGATTTTCATTAAGCCAGTTGAAAATATCACTAGTTGATCGAGTAGAATGAGTAATACTTTTATTAAGAAAATGTTTCGTTTCGTCAAAAGTTTTACCTTCATCTAGTATTTTAGTTAATAATATGAACAATTTATCAATAAGAATATTAATATTATCCATTGAATTAATCATTTCTGAAATGTATAGGCATTCGTCATACTTTGTTTCTGTTTTTGACATATTTTTATTTAAATAGAGAAAAAAGGTTTATGTTTTCGATAAAGTATAACGAAAAAAAATTCTCCTTAATTTTTCAATTATAATTTTGTACTACTTTATATATTAATGCATGCATATCTTTCTTAACTGAGAATTCTGAAAACATTTGATAATTGGTTGGTGATGTGATACACAATTATGCATATATGCAAAATACATTCTTTATAGAACGTTTTGAGAAAGTTTTAACTTTAGTTACACAATACTTCCAAAATATAGAAATAATTTTTTTTTATTTAATAAATCATTAAAATGCGATTTTGTTTTTACTTAAATGAACTAGATGAAGTTAGAATTTACGACTTAAAGAACTAATTGGTCGCACAAATCTTTTTTTTTTAATTTATCGAAAATATAATGTGAAAGGCAGTTTTATACGTCCTTTAAATACGGCAAGTATTAGATTTCGAAAAAACGAATTCTTTGAAATAACATAAGGACAGATCATAACTATTTTTGACCTTTTCCTGAAAAGGAAAGCTGCAAGGAAAAAAAGGAAAAAATTTATGATATAAAGTGCTGATCCTGTTTATTATGATTAGAAGTAACGCGAATGTGAAAGCAAATATATAAGAAATTTATTGTTCATAAAAATCTAAATATATTTGTTTAAAATTGTACCTTGCATCTAAAGTCCATGAAACCTAGGATTCACGTGTTATGAAAGTATAATAATTAGCTATAAAATTCAGAAATAGTTAATTAGATAATGCTAATATTTATGTTGTACAAATTTTCTTGGGCGTCTCGTCACGTTTTTTCAACTATAGAGACCTTAGAGTTCTAATAGAATGGTTGCTGATAGGGTTAGAAAACTATACTCTGAGTTTATTGATATAGGTCTTTATAAATTACGCTTTAGTCTTCGGCTTCTTGGAAGATAGAATTAAAAGGCCTGCGATTTCTTCAGTTAAGAAAGGGTATTCGTTTTACAAACATTATCATAATCTAGCGGTAATTATAGATTCAAATATTGGAAATTTTGTATTTGCCAAATACAACGATTCATTTGTTGATATAAACGCTTCATAATGAAATAATTTATAAAACCATCTGAAAAAGAAATTTTCTGCTAATAGGAAAACAAAAATTGTCCAAACGATTAAGGTGAAGAAATTATTTATTTGTCGAGAATAATATCTTAATCCAGTTTATTAAGATTGTTCTTTTCAATGATAATCGTTGATATTTAAAATAGCCCAACGATGATGATTTGCGCAGTAAAAGAGATTTATTAAAAGTTATTATTATCGTTTGTATTATTTACGTTACAAATTAAACTAATACTACATATTTTTGCAAATTACAGGGATCATGTTGGTCCATTGGAATAGAATATTAATTTTTCTATATAAATTATTAAAGATACTACAAAGAAAGTATAAAATTAACTCAGGTCCAAGGTTAAAATTCTGACCTAGAGCCGAATTATTATCGAGTTGCACACCCTTACAGAACTTCAACTGAATGGTCAAGTTGTACACCTTTATATTGGCGTTAATTAATGAAAGGGTATCTAAGAAAATTTGGTTTTGTGAATACAAAATACGGTAGAAACGAAAGATTGATGCCCTATGAAAAATAAATGTTCGGAATATATCACCGAAAATGTCCGGGTTCATCCCAAAAAATGTCCGGAAAAAATATCTAGAAATTACATTTTTGGGGACAAAATTTAATCATCTGGGAATTCATCCATATGCTAATTTCGAAAACGGAAAAATTCCAAATATGAAAAGTTCCAGTGAAATACATTAAATTTCGAGTAAAATTCGGTTCCGAACCAAACTATAATCGGATTCGTTGTTAATTTTTTCAAGTTCACGGGTCAGATCTAAAAACCGATCGACTAATCCAATAACGTAATTAGGGATGCTAATGGTTAGGTTATGACCGGTCATGACCGGTCATAACCGTGACCGATATCGGTCGGTCAAAGATTACTGACCGACCGATTTTGACCGATTTTGACCGACCGATTGACCAACATTTTTTAATTAGTAATCCAAGAATTTTTTGCTTTAATTAACAATAATTTTAGTGATGTTATTTTTTATAAATAAAAAGTTTTAATTTATACTTAAAAAAAGATCGCAATAAGCTGCATCACTAAAAATATGAAAGTAAACTTAATATGCATATCAAGTTTGCCTAAAAGAAATAAGTAAAGTAAGTAAAATAGTAAGTTTTAGCAAATGCCATGTTAGTATTATTTAAAGCATAAATTAAAATTATCAATCAAGAACTTTAAATTATATTATTGTTAAATGGGCCGGTCAGCAAAACCGGTCGGTCAAAGGCCTTTGACTGACCGTTGACCGACCGTGAACCGACCATGACCGACTGTTACCATCCCTAATCCCAAGCCACAAAATCGTTGATTTTTTGGATAATATTTTCATTACTCAAACCAATGAAGTTGCTTTCTCAATTATTTCCTAAAATTAGTGTTATTTTAGCAGGGTTATTTACTAAGCATTTATTAAAAATTATCATTTATCGGTCAATCGCATAATGATTTAGACAATTCACATTTAACTTATACAAATACATATAAAAAGATTATTCAACTTGCGATTATACTTTCTAGCTTATTCTTTCACTAATTATATTATTTATGAATAATAAAATAATAATAATTTGAATAATTTAAAATTATTAAGTATAATTAATAGCTTATATGGTTGTGATCTAAGAAAATCAAGTTCTTATCAAAATTGAGATTTTAATTGCATTTTAATTTTTATTACATTTAGACCAAAATGTAGTAAGTTATTAATTTTAGTCAAAAATTTCTCAGAACCTGATTTTCTTAGATCACAACCCATATTGTAATATCATGACCATAGTTTAAATAAATTTCTCCATGTAAAATTACTCAACAGACAAAGTATAATAATCATATAGCCGTGGAAAAAATGCAGATAACCAATAAAAAATTAAGTAACAAATTTATATAAATCATTGTGTCATTATAATCAGTCTCCAGGATTTCTAGTCTTTTCGGTTTTTTATTTTAAAAGACCAGACTTAAATAATCGCAGTCCTCTTCAGACTTGTGATTAAAATCAAAAGATCAGCAGTTTTTTTGTAAAACTTTGGCATCAAAAAGACATACAAATAGATCGACAATGAGCTGAATTTCGTTTCATTTTTTTTTCTTTTTACAATGACCGAAATAAATGATGAAAGCAGTTCTTCTTTGATAACAGTTGAAGAAAATGAAGCTGAAATATTCCCTTAGAATACTTTTGTTGAAAATGAAGCTTTAAATATTGATACTAGTTTTGAAGATAATCTGATTTATTGTTGTAATATGTTATATAATTTTTTTTAAAAAAAAGACTGAATTACAAGACTGACGGTCCTTCCGATCGGTCTTTATAAATTAAACCGCAGTCCGGTCGGTCATTGTATAAGACAGGTGGTACAAAGACCGCTAGGACTTATTATCATCTTTACATTCATTACGTCATCATTATATATCGTCTTTCCAAACACTCGAAGGTAAAGTTCTCGAATTATTAATAACAACTTTGAATTTAAATATTAGTAGGCATATGGATTATTAATTGGTTAAATTGAAAGACGCAGAAAATATATGGCATTAAATATAAAAAAAGTTATATAACATATCAAGTTGGGTCGACTATTGTTATATCTTTTTTGATAATCAAAAAGGATTTTATGATAAAGTATGTTGCTATAAATAATTCATAATCCTACTTTTGTGATATGTAATCGTAACAACATTATGAGCCGTTCACAGCATAAAGACTGTGAACAGAAAGGTTGGTCAGCATTATGACCAAAATTATATTAATATTTTTGATGCGTGTATAACATCAATAACGAACTAGCAGGGGAAGGTGGGTGGTAAGAAAATTTGTAAATGGGAAATTGCAAATTTGTAAATTTGCAGGAAAGAGAGAATTGGAAGGTGGGTTTAAACAAAATGGTCTAGGAGTCTAATTTATACCGTTAGTCTAAAATTTCCATCAAATTCATTATACATCACATTGATTACGAAAGTTAATTAACGCAGTAAGTGATCATCAGCATATCATTCGTTCCTTTTCATTTCATTGGACTTTTGTCGTCCAATTCCAATTTTTATCCTGTCATTTTTTAAAAAAAATTTATTTAGCTATTGTTCACTATAATCCTTGCTTTTTACCCCTTATTCTTTTTTATCCAAATTTTTAACCGTGAATAAAAACAAACCGAAAAATGCTTCAACGTGTTATTAACGTTAAAAAACAATAAAAATACTTCAATACTGTTTTTACTAGTGCAAGTGCTCTTCACCTTTCTCACAAGTCTCTAAGCTTCAATTTCTACTTTACCTAACTTCTAAAATTCAAGAAGTAATTAATTTTTATCGGAATATAGCTATAGTTAAAAATACTGAAAAGTCAACTCAAGATTGGGTTGCACAATTTGAAGGATTTCGCAAGAAATATAATTATATTGTACCTCTTAAAAATATTGCACATATATCATTTAAACATTAGTTTTTATATTTGTGGCATAAATAATAAAAATAATAATAATTAGTAACACGTTGTTAGTAATAGTCTAGTTATGACGCATTAATACTGCGCCAATTACAATTAGCGAATGATGATCCCGTCGATCATGGATCTCAAC